AAGCACACGGCCCACCTAATGGTAAGCGGTTACCGTGGCCTATGTACGCTTGCAATATATGGGGCATTACATGTGCCTTGCCGACCCTTAAAGACCTATTCACTCCCCTCTTGAAGAACCCTATGTTGTAACCCACTGGGAAAACCACGGCAGGGAGTTCATTCCACAATCGGAGTGTCCGTGACAATTCCTCTGAAACCGAACTGTACGGGACCATTTGGGCTTCAATGTGTGAGCGTGAAATACCTGTCGATGGCGAGCGGTGCGATGATAGAAAGTGGCCGTGGGCATCATATATACAATACTAATTCTACATAATGTGTTCCAAACCTACAAAGTTATAAAGAACAATCCAAGTTTCTTAATCAACAAACCAAAGGGAATGAATGTAAATTATTATCTTTTAATTTGTTCCGTCTACAAAGAAAGTAATTATGACTTCAAGTACTATTATTGCGGAGGAGAACTACAATTAAAATTCCATCTTTCAATGATAAAGTTAGATTTCATAAAAGTGGTTTCTTTCAATTTGCTAATTAGTCAGGAGAATGTAATGTCGACTGTCAAAAAGGCGGTCTCGAGTACGATTGCTTAGTTCGGGCTAAGTATTTTGGACTGAGATTTTTCGAATACTAGATATAGTCTGATTTTTTTGGGACAATCCCAACACATCCTCCTAAAACCGCTGTAACTCCTGTAAGCCATGATCTACAAGAGATACCACCATAAAAACACCGGAACCGTGAAATCCGGCGCGTCCCAGGAACATGAATAACTGTCTTGGATCAAGTAACGAAATAAATCAGATAGATTTTTCAGCCTGGATATGATGCCCTTATGCCGTATTCTGCCTGTTCAGCAGTGTATGCCAATAAGTCCACCACCTATTACATGGAGTACTCAACGTAACTGTTGATAAATATGTCTTACATTGTGTACGTGGGTCTCTGCCTACCCCTTCGTAGATTAAAAAGCATGACGTCATGTTACGTAGGATTTACCTTTTGTATCTGGCTGCCACACTTCAACTGGATCGTCATCATTTAGTAGTGGGACTGAAATAAATTGAATACGTGTTAAATAGGTAGGTCTCCATAATTAAGCGGTTCCTCATCATCATCAGCCTAAAAACGACTACTGCTGAACAAAGGCCTCTTCTAATATGGAGAAAGAAGGTTTGAGCACTAATCACCACACTTGCTCAAAGCGGGTTAGCGATTTCAAACTTATAATTAAAAATTATAAGCCCAGGTTTCCTCACGATGTTTTCCTTCTCCGTTTGTCAATGGCATCTAAATAGTATTAGAAAGTACCAACATATAGCTCGGAAAGTCACATAGGTACTTGTCAAAATTCGAGCCCGCATCCTCATGGACTTGTCAAACAGATTGAGTGTTTAGGCTATGACTAATTCACATACCATCTTTCTTAGAACCTAATGGAGTATCGACATCAGAATCTGCGTATCTAAAGTCCTTTTCTTTGTTTAAATAGTCAGGTTCATCATCATCTAAAGTTGGATCGCTTCTCATCTGCGGTTTCTCTCTTGAATCTCCACCCGTGGGATTTCTCCTCTTCCGTGACTTCTGTTTCAAATCTCCATTCGTAGGATCACTTTTCATGTATGTCTTTTGCCTTGAATATCCATCCGGGGGATCATTTTTCATCTGCGGCTGCTGTTTTGAATCTTTATCCATGGGATCAGTCCTTATCTGAGACTTCTGTCTTGAATTTCCATCCATTTGATCACTTTCCACGTATGACTTATGTATCAAACCTCTATTCTCTTGACTATAATGCTGGTTGAAGATATTGGAAGCTCTACGGAATATCTTATCAAGCTGCTGACCTACTGGAGACGCTGCGATCTGCTTCGCCAGTGCGTGCACATCATCCAGGTTGGCAGTTAAAAGTATGTAGGAATTCGCAACGTGGATGAATAGAAGGATAGCTGGGAAGAAAAAGGAAAATTTAGGAATATTCCTGATTGATTATGGACGAGAAGGTTCGTCTCAACAGAGATTACCAAACTACTCAGGGGATATAGAGCACAAGAGTGTGGGCAAACACTCTATATAGATTTTAATAAAGGCATCAAAGACCTCAATTGAGAACAATTATGTAAACGTTATCGTTATTACGAAGATTTATGTTTGAGGAATCAGAAAAAATACGAACATTTTATTAATGTTAGGTAAAGGTCAAAATGTCAAAAAGGCTTCTCGTACTTGTAGATCAAAGTTTCACAATGTTCTGTTTTAGGCAGATACAATCTTGACTGAAAATAATGAACACAACTCTGACTACCTAGTCCTATCATTTTTCATCGTGAACGTATTACTCTAGTAACATAATATTAACCAAGTTTCAGCATCAGGTGGATACCCTACTCTGGATGACTCTTCATTATCATATTAACTCGGTTTTTAGGCTTAAAAACTAATTACGGTAACTAATTAGGTAATACAAAGTTTTTAGGGTAATTAATGAAAGTTTTCAGCACTCTGTGTGTTCCAGGGTTTATAATTGTTTTGTTAATTATGTACGCGAAAATAGTTAAGTTTAATGAGATGAGAGAATCTTCTTCTGTTTAAAAATTACAAATCTTTGCTTTAATATAAAGGTTGAAAATAAGATAGACCTGTGCGTAGTGTGCGGCGCGTTGAGTTCCGCGCGCCTCTCACAGAGTCATCAGACCATCACAGACAGGGCCTAGTAGACCTGATGCCGATACGAAGCTCCAGCTTGAAGAGCAGGAGTAGGAACGAGGTAGTTTATAGATCAATAAGAGTATGACACTCCCTCTCGCATCACCCTACGCGGGAGAAGACATTGAATGATTTTACGACCTCAAAAAAGAGGGTACATATAATAAATGTCAGATTGGGTAGCTTGATGCACTGATGTCTGTATCTACTGAAGAAATTAGTACCTATTCTGATTTTATTTTCTTTTCTTTATTTTATTCTTCGAAAAAGAAAGTAAGTAAAAATTCGTCTGAATGTTTTTATTCAATGATAACTTTTAAACCTACGTTGGGATCATTGAGCAATGAGTTATTTAAATAAGAATATAAAGTCAAATTCTTATGCAAACAGGAAAAGTTTTCTATTAAATATTCAGAAAATATTTCACATTTTTATATTTTTTGTAGAGTAGTTTACAAAGAAACCCACGTCATTTCAATTATAGGTACTAAAGTAAAAGAACCAAAGACGACACCATTCCTTTGCTCACAGACAATTTCCCTAAATAAGATTATTTCGGGATTGTACTCAAATAGAAGAATGGACGAATTCAAATATAATTTAACACCTCTGTAAAAAAGAAGTAGGTAGGTATCTTCTTATGACAAGATGTACCTACCAACATACCTACTTACATAATGAAATTTAAAACGATGAGGCCTTTTATTTCCCATAAAAACAAAGTTAACTAGTTAGTACTATGCCTTCATTAAGCGAGTCTGCGGACTCACCGCCCAACCAGAACCAGCTCGTGCGTACGGCGTTGACTTTCCGCGCGCGCCACAAAAAGCCATCAGACCACCACAGATAAGGCCCAGCAGGGCTGATGCTGAAATGCTGATACAGAGCCACGGAGGGCCTAACGGGTTGACGGGGCTACGGCTCGAAAAGTAGAAGTAGTAACGGAGTGGTTCTTAGTCAGTAAGAGTTTGACACTCCCTTTCGCTTCACGCAAGGCGGCAAAAGTCATTGGATGATTTCCCCAAAAAATAAGGTTATTGTAGGTCGATACCATCCATTCCAACAAATGGGATGGTTTGCGCTTAAAAGTGGTCGAATTATTGATGAAACAGATTGGGATATCTTAACGTCCTGGCGGATTATTATTTTATTTTTATGAAACAAATACCAAATAACTGATATTTTATAAAGGTCTACGTAGCGTCTACTATCTTGCATAAGTAGATCTTATTGATCTCTCTATGTCCCCAATTTTGCGACGAAATTGAACGTTATTATAGGTAGGTAAGTATTTACCTAATACTAATGTAAGGTAATGAGATTATTTTTCTAGGTCTAGGTAGCTTAGTCTAGTCTACCCCTATGACCTTGGAATAGGTCCCCAAAATGATACGAGGATCTAAAACTTACTTGCTACACAGATCTTGTTCAGAAACATGATTCCATTGGAACTCCGTATGGTAATAAGAAATTGTTTATGTAATTTATTTTTAATTAACGATCTTTATTGAGTATGGACTATTCTGGTAGCAAATTACTTTTTTATGGAGGAAGTAATTAAATATTTGTCCCTACTTTGGATGTAGGCACAATTCAGATTCATAAATCGTCTTGTTTGAATTTGAATTGATATGTATACAGACCGTTTAATATATTTTTTAAAACAGGTATTTTTTTTAAGACAGGCACTGGATCTAGGCGTCACTTAAGTAGTAAGTAGCTTACAATCGGAAGGCACTTCGCACGACAGATCGCACAGAAGATTTTCTCAGAGCCCTGGCGCTGATTGCTAATTAATGTTTTTATTAAAAATAAAGAGTAAATGTGAAGGAGAGATACTTTATGATATTAAGGCCAGACACATTCGTTTCATTCGTCAGACATTATTTTTCTGAAGGAGAGTACACCGAGTTTTTGAGACAAAGGTCACACTCACTTCGAATTATCGAATTCCATCGACGATAGTACCTTTTACTAACTGCTTAGAATGTAATTGCTATCCCAATATTTATTATACCGTTATTATATAGATAAACATACTATTTAAGTAATAATTTTTTTATTAAACTGGGAAACTGTTATTATTAAAACCTATTTTGATGTGAGTTACATAAATCAACATACATTTACTAAGAACAAACTTCACAAACAGAATCGGTACTGTCATAGTGTCAAGTGTCAACGTCAGGTAACTGTCAAAAACAGATTAATTTCCTGGAAAATTGTATTGTTTGTTGTTATTTTGCGACTCATCGTGCTATTTATTTTGACGATTCATTGTCTCTAATAAACATGGATAATAATTTACAACATGAAGATTTGTTGATAAAATTACGCGCTAAACTAAATCAGGAGAAGGTAAAATTATGGGAACCTCCATTCATTGCCCAAGATAATGAAATCACGGAAGATTTTAAGGTAATTATTATAAATACAGTGTCGGTCATGTTTGGTAAGGGAACTTGAAGGGGTTATTATTTAATTCTTAGTAATATTAATCTAGCTATCATTTGAGTTAAGTACGTTGTTCGAAAGATTCTGTAGATATTATATTTATAGTATACTAACATTGTTCAAAGAGCGGAACAAGATTAAAAATATAACTATCTAAATTACCACCCGCGCACCACCTGCGTCGTCAAAGATTAAAAAAATAAATAAGTACATTATTTTCCAGGCTTAACTATAGCCAGATATAGAAATCATACTCATAAAATCCATTATTAATAATCCCTTGTGACTAAAATACTTTCAATACATTTCTTACAGAATATTGCGGAGAAATACGCGAAAGACCTCTCCTTAGAGACTGAAGTGGTACAGCAAGCTCTACGGGAACTGCAATTACACTCACTTGAACGGTCCAAAGACAATGAGGAGTTCAAAGAGACAGGGTTTGCGACCTTTAGGGTCAAAGCCACCATACCTGGTGAGAAACCCAAGATGATGAAGTTGCAGAAGAAGCTTGATGGTCTCGGATCTGAACTGATAGCTGCCATTGCTGCCGAGATTGGGGTTACGGAGAATAGGTATCTTGTTTTAGTTGTTTTCTTTGTGTTAACAAATTATTACAAAAATTTTAGTGTGTTACAATTTTTAGTTTTTTTCAAATTGTTATAAAAGCTTTAGTTTCTTATAATTTTCAATTTTTTTGTGGCAAATTAAGTTCCCCAGTTACTTGAATTTTGCTATTTGTAATATAATAAATTAATAATAGTTTGTACTTTTTTGTGATGTAGCCGCCATTGTTTGCACCCCTAAAATTGTACTTTAGATTTGTGTGACCTATGTTTTTGTTATCACTTTCAGAGTAAAGTTAATATTCAATGGGAAGGTGATAAAGCCTACTCCTAATTTAGAACAACAAGGGTTGAAGAATGGAGCTACTTTGATGGCTCTTGTGATGGCAGGTGTGTACTTACAAATATTTATTATTATTTTGTTATTTCCATATATTTAAAATTAATATTTATTTAATTCAGGCCGGCAGTTGAAACAACTGATATATGTCTGTATTGTATTTTCCTATTAGTAGTTAGTTCGTATATTATACTTTTTAAGCTTTGCAATTGCTACTGCTAAACATCAATTCCAACATGGCTCTTTGCGAAAGTGTTTAAGTTTCATTGCTAGCTCTTTAAAATTGAAGTTCAGCAATCTGATTGGTTAGTTCATTGTAGCCGGCCAATCAGAGTGCTGAATGCGGTAACGTTTCGATCTTGTTAGACCTTAAACAAACTCATGCCCCTATCCTCAAGCCCTGTCGCGGAGAACCTAACTGGTTACCAGGGCACCGGCTCGATGTGCAGGAGAAGGAACGGGGTGGTTTCTAGTCAGTAAGAGTCTGACACTCCCTCCCGCCTCACCCAGGCGGGAGCAGTAATACGATGGTTTACCATCCTTAAAAAAAATCCTCAAGCCCTCTGACTCAGCTATTACTTGGGATTAATAACTAACACAAACACTAATCTCTATATGTATATCTGATCTCTGTTTATTTCCTTATTCCTCATGGTTACAATTTTTTAATGAATCACATTATTGCAAAGTTAAAAAAAACATGAAGTTTAAATCACATTTTAAATTATTAAAAGGGCAGATTTTTCAATCAACAGACAATTCTTAATTATAGAATAAAATCGATACTTGACAGGCCTTAGTATGGAAGCCAATAATAATTTATAACTTTGATCAATGACTTTGGATATTTATTCAGTTATTTCCTCTTTCGTGTTGCAAAAATCGGCCCTAAGTTAACTAATGGTATATCATTACAATATTAATCAATGATCTATAATGTGTTACATTTTATAGAAACTCCTGAAGAAGTGAAGAAAGAGGAGAACATGTATATGGAGATGAAGACTGTCCGGGATGATGCCACACTGCTGTCCGAGTATGTGGACGAACTGGCTGATGATGAGGAGTATATAAAGGTCAGTTATCATATGCAGTGTAGCTTAATTTGAATCAAATTATCTAAAAGGTATTTCTTTCAGTTCAACAGTATTTTTTTTCTGTGACTTGTGTAAACACAGCTGAATACATGTTTACTGGATTTTGTATGTTTAACATACTTTTGTTTAATACAACTGTAGTAACAACCTAGGCTCGAAAATATTTTGTTTTTACTTAAACTGATTTGGTTTTATTTCAATATAATAATATTATTTCTGACAAGAAGAAAAAGTGGAAGGGTTTGTGAGAATGCAGTTGATTTGACTATGTCTGATAGAGAATAGGAGAAAAAAGATATAGTTGGTACGTTGATCTCAAGTAGTTTGTTTTGATTCTTATTTTTTTTGTGAGGTTAAATAAAGGGGTCATTACACTATATTTATTTTTGTTGTCCTATGTGTTTGTGTGGTGTAGGTGTACAATAAAGTATTTATAAAAAAATAAGTAAATAAACTATCAAATGTCTGCTCCCGCAAGGTGACGGTCGCCGTAACTATGGCTCTTTATCTGTAATCATCATCAACAGCCTATAAATGCCCACTGCTGAGCAAAGCCTCTTCTCACGATAAGGTTTAAGCTTTAATCACCACGCTTGCTCAATACAGGTTGGCGATTACAAACTTGTAATTAGAAATTATAAGCCCAGGTTTTCTCACGATGTTTTTCTTCACCATTTGTCAGTGGTGTCTAGATAATATTAGAAAGTACATATAACTCGGGAAAAGTCACATTGGTACTTGCCGTTGGTAGGTTTCGAACCCGCACCCCCATGCATGAGAAGCATCTTAAAGCTCCAGGCCACCACGACATGATTACAAAGGCTTTATCCGTAAGCTGGGCCGTAATGGTGTTCCAGCTGGAGGACCAGTCGGGCGCGACGGTGGAGCTGCCCCCGGCGGAGCGGCGCGCGCTGGTGGTGGGGCTGGCGCTGCACGAGCGGGGCCGCACGGCGGCGCGACACCACGACTACTCACTCGCGCTCGTACTCTTCCTGGAGGCTGACCGACAACTCAGGTTAGCTCATACCGACTTTTGAACTTCACACAAACTAAATACTGTTACATTTAGTTCACTATATTCATCATCGGCATCTTTCCATCATACGTTCACATCTGTTTGTTTGGTAGGCTTTTATATTAGCACGCCACTAGACTCTATTTTTAGATCTTCACATCTAACCACTGCTAACCAAATAGTGGATGTGGAATTGCCACTTATAAGTAGCACTCGTTAAAAAGCTCTTGTGAAGAAAAAGAGATGTCTTAAAAAGTTGAAGTCTTCTTATGTCTTAGAAAGAATAAACCCGACAATGTCCTCCAAGGTAATATCAGACGGTTCACTCGATTGAATATTCGCCGCAGTGAAAGTTTCATTTATCTTTCATTCCATGTTTAGTAGATTGACAAATAATAGGATACTCAAATCAAATCAAATCATTTATTTGCTAATATGGGTCAATTCATCTGATCTTTTTTAAAATATGCCATCAAGTGATGTCGTGCGTTTCAGAATCAGTTTCATTTGTCATTATTTAATTAAATCTGAGTAAATTCACTCTGTTTGTAGATTATTGCTGGAATAGTGAAATGTTACTCAATTTTAAGTTGTACTCAAATATCGTGTCATCTCTGTCATTTCACAAATAATTTGTAGAGACAGAACTATACTTAAGCACGACTTAAAATTGAATAACGTTTCAGTATTCCGGCATAAATTTGTTAATTCAGAATGGGAGTGAATGATGCCTAATACCAAAATCCAACATTGTTGGATCGATTTAATAATGAATGACCTATCGTTTTGAGTGAAAGATGCCGAATGAAAGACCTTAACGCTGCCCAAGGTAGCTTCTCTAAAAAGTTTATCTGTGAAAGTTGTATTAATAGAAGTGTATGTGGTGCAGCGAGTGTCGGTCGTCGATCCTGAAGTCGGTGGACAACTGGGCCGTGCTGCAGCTGGACGTGGCGTGGAGCTACCTGTGCCTGCGCTCCCTGCCGCAGGCGGCCGACGCGGCGCAGCGCCTGGCGCGGGCCGAGGCCGCCTTCCGCGACACCTACGGCGAGGACCACGCCCGCCTCATCGCGCTCAAAGGCAGCGCCGGTCAGTGTACTCGCTCGGCGTCACCAACAATCCACTGCTGGACTGTACGCCTCGTGGATAATAGCAGTTTGCTATTATTTCCGCGCATTTAATAGGTTTCCGGTAACAAATCGTAATTTAATAGGTTTAGGTTCTTTAGTTTAGAAAAGCGCTGCCAAGAGCGCGGTTAATGTCTCTCATTCGGATATCGCAAACTCACGAGAAAAGTAGAGATTGTAAGAAATCTATTCTATAATGCTGTCAATACACTGCCCAGGTGGCATAAAAATATGTATTGAATGACTCGACAGCGAACGAGCGCGTGCTACTGATGCGCATGTACTTGCTGCAAGGCATCGTGTGCTACCACCAGAACAAGCGCGCCGAGGCACGCGCACTGCTCGCCAAGGCGGAGACTGAACTCAACGCGCTCAGGGTAACCATGCTTTACATTTTTTAAGTGTTTTATAATATATTTCCCGTGAAACATAAAAAATATTATTATTATTACCGACGACGGTAACTGTTTGAAGCGGTAATTTGACTAATTTCAAGTTACTTTAGAGGTTTATAGACATGAAGATCATTGCGCGACAAACTATAAAACGAGCGCCGTAAAACAAACTATAAAATATTATTAATTTTACGTCTCACTAGAGTAGGAATATGAAACTTGAAAGCGTTTAATGAGTTATCTAAATATGTAGTAGGACTTTAGTGTAACGTGTACCCGTGCAGGTGGACGAGGACGCGGTGCTGACGCTGATGGAGCTGGGCTGGTCCCGCGCGGCCGCCCGCACGGGGCTCCGCGCGGCCGCCGGCCACGTGGACACGGCGCACCACTACCTCGCCGACCGCCGCGCGCAGCGGGACCGCGCCCGGGACGCGCATCGGACCGACCGGTGCGGACTGCGCATGTTTATTGGCTATTTAGGGACGCTGGTTATGTTGGAAAATACCGTAGTAAAATGAAAAACGATGGAGATTTCAGCAGATTTTAGCCGGCACTATATAATCATCGTTGACATTGCAAAAATTTGTTGACAAGCCAATTTCTTCTTCTTTTACAAACAAGTTCAAGTTCTGTTTACAATCCATAAACAATCATTCCAACAGGTTATACATATAGTCCTCTAACTATGTGAGAGGTCGGTTAGACGGACACACTTGTGTCCATTCCCTTTTTTTAAGGGGGGGGAATCGTCCAATGTCTTCTTCTGCCCGGGTGAGGCGGGAGGGAGTGTCAGACTCTTACTAACTAAAAACCACCCCGTTCCCACCCCTGGGCTTCCAGCCGGAGCCCCGGTAACCCGTTAAGTTCTCCGTGGCTCCGTATCGGCATCAGCCTATTGGGCCCCATCCGTGGTGGTCTGATGGCTCCTTGAAACGCGCGCGCAAAGCTCGGCGCCGTACGCTCGGGTCTGGTTTTGGTCGGGCGGCGAGTTACCCATGCTCGCCGTCTGCAGGTCCGCGCTTACGATGGCCGGATGCGTTCAGTATCTAGTGTCTACATATACATCCCTCCGCTGTATTGACCACGGTAGCGAGGACGCTATACGACGTATCTTCTGTCAATACAGCTTAAAAACTTAATATAATGTTAAACTATAAGTTTGAAATCGCCAAGTCACTTTTAGCTAGCGTCGTGATTAATGCTCATTCACTCATCTACCGCATGAGAAGATTTCTTTTCTTTGCAGTAGAACAGTTACAGGCTAATTATGATGGTGAAGGTAATCACCTATTGTCTCTTACAGACAGCGTCGCCTGCTAGGTGTATGTGAGGACGGGTCCCAAATCAACTTGCAGTTGGTGGAAGCGTTGGTGGGTATGGGATACCCGCGCAGCGTGGCAGTCTGCGCGCTCAGGAACTCCAACAACCACGTCGCTGAGGCTGTCAGGCTCATACAGGAACAGCCTGAACTGGTATCTATCTGTTTTTCTCTTTTAATAAGTTTATAGACAAATATTCGTTCAAATGTCGACTCCTTTTAACACGACATTAACTTTAAAATGATTGTTCCAGTTGGTCGACAGCGACAGATCCTCGGACGACGCGTCCACCATCAGCTCGGACGACTCCAACATCGTGCCGGACAATAAACTCGTCGCAGAGGTAATAATTATAAATATCGTACCTTCTGTCATAACCCTTATTTTGTTCTTTTTATTATAATTCAGGAAGATTAAGGGTTCCAGTGTAGTTCGAAACCAATCGAGTATTTACTGAGCAGTATAAAAACGCCCTATAATTATTATTCAATGATTATCTTGGACATACACCTTTAAATAATTTTATTGTGATCTATTTATTTAATACATATTATGTCATGTTACGCACAGTGTCTCTGTTTTTTCCGTTTTTCCTGTCGAAGGACTGCAGGAAGAGATTCCTTCGGGAATATGTAGTACCTATGTACCTCCAAAATATTTATATATGTGTTCTCCTATGTACTGTCTGTATGTTGTGCATAAACCGATAAATAAATAAATAAATAAATAAATAAATAACGCTAACTGTGTTCAGTCCTGAACAGAATTAGGCTTATAATGACTAATATTGATTTATTTGTGTTAACTAAAAGTCGCCGGTTACTCCCGTGAATGTAATGAGAAAACATCTACTAGTTTCGAACCATAGAGCCACAGATGCGCCCGCATCTAGTGCGGTCGCGGCAATGACGCTGCTCATGAGGAAGAGCCCCTCTGTGGCTCGAAACTAGAAGAGCTTTTATCAGTATATTTGTCTAACCATACAACGTTGCTACCATCCGTGCGTCACTGCATGGGTGTCCACTGAAAATCAGTGCTGGGTAACCTGTATGCCTGGCTTATACTGAGTGGGTGACCTTTTTAGCATAGGCATGTTGTCAGCGTCTCCTTTCTAATTCTTCTGTTTCAATTTTTCAACTCTTGCTATATTTTTATTACTTCCACTGTCACATCTTGATTGTCTTTTTTTATTTTTTATTTATGCTGCATCGTGCCTGGTGCTAAATAAATGTTTTTTCTTTCTTTCTTTCTATATTCACGTGAATAACCCGCGATTTTAGTTAATTGAATATGTTTGTGCGTGGTCCAGCTGGAGGCGATGGGCTACGACCCGGAGCAGGCCCGCGCGGCGCTGCGCCTGGCGCGGAACCACATCAGCGGCGCCGTCGACTCGCTCGTCGCGGGGAACGGGGTCGTACTGCACAGTCTGTACACCACTCTACATACATACATACAGATCAAATTCTTCTTAATTTCATTTCCAAGTTATTTCCGATCAGAGCTATGTGTATATTCCACAGACAATAGAAGGCTATATTAAGACAGACTGCCTCGCTGGCCGAATGGTCGTAAATGCGACTGTCGGGCTATAGGTCTCGGGTTCGATTCCCAGGTCGGGCAAAGTATTACTGGGTTTTTAAAAAAATCTCAGTAGTAGCATGGAGTCTGAAATTGTGCCCGGTATATGGCAATAATCTCACCCCCTATTGGGACTCATAACATAAATTGTGAAAAGTGGATGTTACATTGTAGGTACATAATGTGCACCTCTGCCTACCCCTTCGGGAATACAAGGTGTGATGTTATGTATTAAGACATACACATAAACAAACCATTTTACTTAGCTATAGGTAATTGAAAATTTTAGCATCAGTAGCAAACCATTTATATTACTGTCTCCTGTCGATTCCTGGGTCGCTAATTACAATGAGCAATTTTATTTGTTTCATGCCAGAACGCCCAAGGACTGGTAAATATACAACGTGTCTTACTAGGATTCACCATAATTCTAAACATCATTGTATAATGACTCCTTTCTATTTTCAGAAGGTGACCCTGAGGATCCATCCACCAGCTCAGGAGTTGTCTCCAAGAAGAAGAAGGCTAAAAAGGCACACAAGAAAGATAAAAGGTAAATATTACTTTTGGATAAGATATTTTACATGTTAGAGCCTAGATACTTTCGGAGTGATACCATGGCCTCATGGAACCGGCGTGAAACAACGGTTGCATTGTATTTCACAGTGTGAGTGAGGTTTATAGAACCCCAACTCTCCCCCCAAAGGCCGGCGACGCTCTTGTGTTGAGGGTGTCCATGAACGTCGTGGACTAAATAAGGGAGGTGCCAAAAGTCCACTGTCGTCACATATGGAGTTTCCTTATGCGAACCGCTTAGGAATGGAATCCTTTGCCGGAATCTGTGTTTCCCGACAAATACTTGCGTGTCTTCAAGTCCGAGTGAACAGATTGCTCATAGGTCGTCGTCGTCCACATCATCGCTTACCACCAGGCGAGATGGTAGCCAAACGGCATCCTATCTAGTAGAACAAAATAAGCCTCATAGTGTTCAATCATTATAGGCAGACGTGCTTCATCATAGGCAGCATAATCGTTTACCACCAGGCTAGATAGTGGACAAACGCCGCCGACTCATTGTGAATAATAAAAAAAATATTTCAGGAGGAAAGAGCGGGATCAAGCTCTGCGCCGGCTGACGGCATCTATAAAGACTGAAGAAGATGACTATCTGGACACCTCCCTCACTGAGGAGGAGGAGTTCCTCGCACAGTACAAGTCCCTCCTGTAGACTGACACTCACTTATCACGGTAACATCATATAATACCTCTTTGACAAAATAAGATCTCGTAAAAACATCGTAAAATACTTTTTAAAATTAGTTCTAACGCAGAGAATACTCGACTAAATTCGAGCCATACCGGGGCTTTTATTTAGCTACCCAACTATCTTCGAGCTCGAAATTAATGTTAGTATCTCACTGCTAGTGTTACAATGAAAAATCAATTTTATTTTACTTGTTTTGATTAAAATTTTAAGTGATTTAAAATATTTTAAGTTTATAAATTGTGAACATTATCAAATTATTGAACCTTTAAAACATTTGACATCTTTATACACATATTACGATGAAATATACGCCATAGCTCATTTATAATACGATACATAATAATTGTGATTTAACTGAACAAGTCCCGTTGGTATAATTATTCAGCATTTATAATAATATCTATGTATTAGAAATAAGTATTACAATAATATGAAATAAACATTTTACTGTGTAGCATTCACTTTTACATTATATTGAAACTTATCTAATGGCAGCAAGAGTTTACTAAATAATGTATACATTGTTCCCGACTTAAATGTTAAATACTGAGTTTTTCATATTATTACTTTATTATGATAAACGAATAATTTATTAGTGCACTCGGCATCTTTCACTCAAAATGATACGTCTGAACTCAGATTGAAACAAGAGTGCTAAAATGAATTCAGTAGTGCACCCATCCATCGTTGTTGGATTTTGACATTCCGCATCATTCACTCCCACTCCGAATGAACAAAAAATGAACTGCACACAGAGTGAACGTATTTGATTAAATTATCACAAACTAAAGTGATTCTAAGACGCACGACGTTACTGAATGACATGTTTTAAAAAAACAATGAATTAATGTTTATTTCTTTGTCATTCAAAGTATTCAGAAAGATAAATTAAACATTCAATGGTGTGAATATTCATTCGAGTGAACCATCTGAATAACTAATCTCGCGCAGTTTCACCGTCTCTGATCGGTGGTGTAGTGTTTTATATCCTATACCCTTACTTGATAAAAGGATTGTGTGTGGGAACACAAAAAGAATCCATCAATTCGACCCAGTAGTTTCAGAGATTAACTCACTCAAACCAACTGCAACATTATAATTTTAGTATTGATGTTTGGTGTCGATATTATTGTATTATGATTAGATATTATTTGGTTTTATTAATAATAATTATGACTAAATAATGTATATGTATGAAATATCGTTGGTCGAGCTTTTTACTCGTGGTAGTGTCTTATAGTTTAGTATATATGTGCCTATATATATGTAGGAATTATTATTACGACTAATTATTCAGACTTATTAAAGTCTAAAGTACGATGGCTAGTAGGTCAACCTAACCTGTCCCACCAAAGTTCTCCAATCATTCTTTAACTTTATTGTATTTGGATATAAAGTCGAAAATCCAATAAATAAATTTGACAGATGGGTGTAGGTTGATACACTAGCCGCTACATTAATAAAGTGAGCATTTATCGTTTATCCCGCGACGCCGTCCGCGTGGTTTTTAATCCTACACCCGTGGGGAGAAGGAGTAAAATGTACTTTGTATATTTTCGCTGATAATTGAACTATATCCATATGTGATAGAATTAGAAATTGTATTAGAACTTAGAGTTAAAATTATATTATATAAAACAGTTTTATAAAACTTGAGTATATCTTACTAAGTAAAATGTGCAAATATATTCTAAACTATAAAAAACTCTGATATTTGTGCACCGTAGTTAGAGAGGCCAAACACTAACATTTAACTAAATTAATAACCTAAGAATCGAAGCCCTATTCAATGTTAATACATTTTACTACCAATATTATCCGTGTGTCTACTAACAATAACGTATAAAATTAATGTATATCATATTGACTAATCTGTTTGTCTGTGTATCAGCAGTACTGTTTTAAATATTGATAATAATAATAATTAAACTTGAAACATAATCAGTACTTTGTGTCTCATTAATTATTAATTACTTTAATAGTGGAGAACTTAAAATTTTGTTTATGTAAGTACAAAGTAACTGCTTGAGTATAAAATATCAATTATTATATCTTTGGGAAGCAACTGTACTAAATATATGACAACTACTTCTGAAACCCCTTTCACAGCTCTATTTCTCTATTTTTTGTATTTTATGAATTTAAACATGAAATAGTAATAAAATAGCTTGAGTATATAATAATAATAATAAATGTAATTGCGAAGCAACTGTACTAAATATATGACAACTTTTTCTGAAACTCTTTTCACAGCCCTGTTTCTCTCTTTTCTCATCTTTTATGAATTTAATCACTGCTGAATAAAAGCCTCTTCTCACATGGAGAAGGAATGAGCATTAATCACCACGCTTGCTCAAGCCGAATTGAATTTAAGCATGCTGGTTCTGGGGACCTCTACATGGATATTCCTAGTCTGACTAAAGCTAAAGTTTAAAAGACAATGAATTTGGATAGAAGCTTAAACAATTGTTTTCAATGACTCAATCGCCTACCCTAATACAATGTTTTAGGATAGATGGAGATATGAATATGTACTAACATTACACCTAGGTTTTTCCAATTGTCAATTAAGGGTGAGCTTTCTAAAAACTAACACTAAATGTTAACCAAATCTCAAAGTTTTCAATCCTTAATAGGCAACTATAACTCGACCAAGGGCGGCATCGATTGCTTACCATCCGGTGACCCGTTTGCTCGTTTACTGCATTATATTCAAAAAGTTTCTTTTACTATTAAAGTAGTTACAAAGCTAACAACATTTAAAGTATTTCATACCCCTCATTAGTACATTTTCTTATGATATGTAGTGCCATTACACCCCAATATAATTTAAGATTAGTTTTAAAATTATCACTAGTATAATTGTTATTATTACGCCCTGAAATTGTTATAATTTCAACAAAAAAATGAAACAAATATATTTTTTATTAATTTTGTCCTAATCCTATGTATAAGTAAAATACTTAGTTGATGTAATTATTGAATAAATAAAATATGTATACAGGAAGGAAATGTTTTATTTTTATTCTGGTACAAATTAGAGAGTCTACAAGTTAATTGTATATAGTCTTATTAATTTCATTCGTGGTGTACATGAAATATAACCTAATAAAAAATGGTTTATACAATAATTCCCGAGTACTGAAATGTTACTTATGCTAAGTCGCGCTTAGGTATAGTTCAGTCACTGCAATTTCTTTGTAGGATGACAGATATGGCACGATATTTAAGTACAATTTAAAATTGAGTAGCCTTTTAGTAATTGGGGGTAAGGTAATGACTCACATGATATGATGAAAATTAAAAGTGATAAAAGTCATGTAATAAAGTTAGTTAATCCATATATAAAGATATATATATTAAAACGTAAGATATTGATTAAAAGGTTGCCGACGATGATAGTCAGGATCGATAGATTGTATAAGGAACGATACAGGTAAAGTAGAAAGAAGTTTGTGATGTGATGACGTCTTATAGAGGAGAATGGTAGAAAACATACTGTTCTACTGGTCTCAAGTAACTTGAGATAATAATGAGAGGTGAATTGATGTATTGCGGTACAATATTAACTGAACATTTGTCTGTCGTGAAGATATAAACTCGGGTTGGTTAAATCTAAGCATCTAAATTAGTATCCTACGTATAAATACAAATAGCATATTGACAAAGTGTCTTAAATATTAACATTTACAGTACTTATTACGAAATTTACAAAATAAATTACATAAAATTCTGTTACATAAATCATAATCTACAAAAATCGACCATAACCCTTCCAAAATAAAATACAAAACAGAAACTACCCTAAAATTACTGATTAACAATAAACTCAATGAACATGACGTCATTCTTAACATATTCGAACTTGTCTAGACTGGTGTGTGGTATGAAGATGTACTGCCTCTTCAGCTGGGTGACTGTCTTGTCCAGAGTGTCTGATGACTTGGTCTTGTCATCATCACCACCGTCATCGTAGTCATGACGTTTAGACGATGACTTGCGCTTCAGTTGGAGTGACTTCACTATGTCCATTGCCTGAAAAAGTAATTGGTATGTTTGCAGAGTTTTAATAATACACACCTTCTTCCCTTCTCACCTATCAGTTGGTGGGTAACCTGTAAGTATGACTATTAATAGTAATTTTTTGCTTTTTAGTTTTGACCTTTTGCTTGTTTTTAGGAGTTGGTTTTCGAAGTCGGTTTTTTATGATATTTTCGAATATCATTTTTGTTTTCTTTTAAGTAGGTAGTATTTAAAAATGTAATTTTAGAGACTTATAAATGATTATATGCATGTGTTACGCTCATAGAACGTGGACGACGAGTGGTCGCAAGTGCGACTGCGGGGCAAGGGGTCTCGTGTTCGATTCCCTGGTCGGGCAAAGTATTACTTATAAAGTATACTATATATATAAAGCCTCCTACATAAACTTTTCATAAGCACAGCAGTTTGGGGATTGTAACAACCAGCGCTTAACCACTTCTAAACAAAAGCTTCCGACGTAACTGTACCATAATAACCACACCTGGCAAACTACTCGGGGATTATTACATTTGAGTTGTCACAGTCGACATCTTACCTGGCTCCTGTTGTTGGGCTGGTCTCGGAGTATGATGTTGATGTTGAGGTCGCAGGGCCACTCCAGCAGAGCGTCGTACGGTCCAGCCACCAGCCGGACTGTTGACGTAATGTGACGACCCTTCCATTTACCGATACCGTTCAGGTTGATTTCTGCCTGTAATCAAATAACTTGAAAGTTAAGGATTATTGGGTTCATGAACTAGTATAATTATTAGGAAGTACATTTTTTTTTTAAATAAACGTTGCCCCACACTAGGGTTTTCTCCTGTGTCGTGGGTGCGTTTACAAACATACAAGTTCACATACACAATGACACCCAGACCCGAAGCAACAATTTGTGGATCACACAAAGTGTTGTCCCGTGCGGGAATCGAACCCGCGACACGTTGCACGGCAGCCGGGTGCCCAGCCACCGGACCAACCGTGTAGTCGAATTGGTCGACATTGGTTCGATCGCGAAAACCTAAAGTGAAGTGGTTGAAAAAACGAATTCATCCGTTAGAGAGCTACGAATACACACACAGAAACAGAAACATTGCTCTCATACATAAGTGTGGGAGAGCCATGCTTTTGCCATTGCAGGCACAAATGAGCCAGCTCGGCCGGTGTGATACCACGGCCTCACAGAAAACAAACGTGAAACAACGCTAACGATGTGTTTCGTTGTGTGAATAAGGTTACCGAAGACCCAATAACAGCCTCCCCATCCCCATTCTCCCCAATCAGGATTAGGCGATCCATCTATCGGCTTATCCCATAAAAAATACTTATAGTATTCCTCTCATTATTCTTCTTGGTTGGTTATTCAAATAAGAAAGTCATTCATGATTTTATTTATTTATTTATCTCTTCTTCACAAAACACAACAGTGAATGGCGGACTTAATGCCTTAAGGCATTCTCTTACAGTCAACCATAGGGAAGTGCAGAGAAATGAAGCGGTTGATGCGAAGCCAGAACATAATTCAAAAAAATAAAAATAAATGTTATGTAATATGTTTACTACACACATAAATACCTATAGAATAAACATATTAATACAATATTTTTTATTTTATAGATTAGATAAGTTTTGGTTCGATCAGTAAAAGGTAGGAATTTCCATTGGCTTTTCGCTATTGAATATCTTATCTAATTTTGAACTGCTGCCCGGTCTCTACCAACAATCCCTTGTACAATGTCTTATTTGGGCACTTGTGACACCCACGGGAGGAGTGGAGGTAGTGAATAGTGTGCCCGAACAGTAATATAATCCTTACCTTCAGCGTGTACCCATACTTGCTGGTCCTGAAGAGAGGGCTGCTCAACACGGTGTCATTCTCCTTGGCCTCCTTCATACGAGACAGGAACTTGTCTATTCTCCATATAAAGCGACCTGGAACATCCTAGTGTCTTTAGAACTCATTCAACGCCCTTGGTCTTGATAGGATTTGCTCGTGTACCGTGGATGCGTTTGCAAACACACTATTTCACATACACGTCTCACCCAGAACGGAATAACAATTTATGAATCACACAAAGAATTGTTCTGTGCGGGAGTCGACGCGTTGCACAGCGACCAGCTACTATGCCAATAGTGCAGTCAAATTAATTTAAATGTAATTAAGGAGTGTAGGTACGCCAAGTTCCTAAGGCTTTAAAAATAAAAGCGCCGGGATCATGTCCTTCTATAATCTACAAGCAATCTTTTATTACGACCAAATCAAAAGTCTTGAGTTAATGAACGTGAAAACAAACGGTTTAAGGAGCCTCTGTCACTCACAGTGCTCATTATACAAGGAAGGTCAATAAACTACCTGCACGTATTTTTAACATCACTGCTTATTTTTGTACAAAACCCATCAAAATGTATATTGGTAACATCCTGCTCAAAGGAATTCACATAACAAGATAATAAGTAAGTTTATTTTAATACATGAGTCTAAATTACAATCAATACATCATTTCCAATTTATACATTTTTAATTACAGCATGCATGTAATGTACCTACCTCTTCTGGTGCTGATTGACAATAGCATAAATACACGAAGTTACCCCAACTTTATCTTCGCAATAACTTTCCTCTTTTGGTACTTAAATCTTCGTAAATTATACACTAACACTTTCCTCAATTTTTGACTTCACAACAAACTCACCATACAGGCGCGGCAACGGAATTTTGTTTTATAATGGTGGTATTATTGCTTACCATCATGTGGACAGTATGTTCATTTGTCGCCCTAACTCATTAAAAATCACATAAGTAGGTCAACTTACCGTCTTCAGATCCCAGCTCATTTCTATCGAAGGTGACCTTGGACTGGAAGTCAGCGAGCTCGTTCCTCATTTTGTGGTAAGACTTGGTGAGGGCACGCAGATCCCGCAATACTGCGTCTACTTTCGTAGAGTGTTCTGACATTTCGGCTCTGGCGTCTGCTGTCGCCACTTCTAGTACTGCCACGCGGTCTATGCCCTGTGTGATGATGATGAGAAATTCCAGTACAGATATTGTGTAAAAAGATTGTAAGTGATTTTTTTATGGCATAAGCCGGTAAACGACAGACGGATCACCTGATGGTAAGCAATCGGCGTCGCCCATTGACACCTGGAACACCAGAGGCGTTACAAGTGCGTTATCGGCCTTTTGGGGATTAGGAGTTTGAGGATCGTTGCGGATTCAGGACTTTGGGAGATTGGGGAAAGGGAGGGTAATTGGGCCTCCGATAACCTAACTCACACGACGAAACACACCGCAAGAGTTGCTTCACGTCGGTTTTCTGTGAGACCGTGGTGTCACTCTGGTCGAGCCGGCCCATTCGTGCCGAAGCAGGGCCCTCCCGCACTTCCAGGTAACGCCAGTTGTAACATGGCATGAAGCCGTCGTCGTTTGTATGAATGTTAAACAAAAGGGATTCTATTTCAATATTCTATAATTCTATTTTAAAGTTAATCAAAATTTTTACTAATGTGCTCCGTGCATAGTTAACAAACTCAAAATATGATACTAGGTTGTGAATAAACTCCTAAAAGTGGCAGTTTGGTATTAACTTCTTACGGTAGGTAACTCCTTAGCTACCACCGCTAAAGTGTTATGTTAAAACCCTAGTAGTCTTCAAGAAACCTGCAGAACTTACCGGCCTCTCATCAGACGTGGCCTGCAGCTGCATCCTCAGCGCCGACAGGTTGGCGAGCTGCTCCGAGGACCTCCTGGCCTCCATCAGCTCTGCCTCCAACGCCGCGCGGTTCTCCGCATTCCTCTCTCGTTCCTCTTCTACCGTCTGCCTTATATAGTTTATTACTTCCTCTAGAAAAGAAATAAAATCTTCGATGAGTTCTTTTTGGATTCACTTAATTTCCTTTTATATACAGTCCACCAAATAATTCTGTAGAAACATACCGAGTTTGTTGACTGCCCTAATCCTATTGTCATGTTGTGTGAGCGCCTGCTCCAGCAGTTCCCGCTCGTGCTGCTCATGCACTAGGCTACTCACTGCACTCTCCAGTCTCATCACTGTAGTCAGCTGCTGGCTTTGCAGTTCCTGGGAGAGAAGATGAATTACGTTATTAATTACCGATATTCGATCAATCTTGGCTGAAGCTCTCTCTGCAAAGTTTTGTAGAGCACTTAGGTAGTTACCTCATTGGCCAAATCTTATACTTTAACTGTTAGAGTACCTACCCATTAATATTACAGTTTAGGCAACGTGTGGTTAGACAGATGATGATTCCAACTAAATTAAAATTCTGAGAATCTATTCATATCAGTAAACAACCATCGTTAACTGCGTGTAGGTACGCGATTATTATTTGTGGCAAAAAGAAGGTTGACAATTCGTCGAAACACAGTTTCTTTTATTTTTCCAGGCAAAAACATGTCTGAATTGCTGTCCGGTTCTTTTTGATTTTTAATATTTTGAATAGGAGACAGAAGGTATAATACTTATGTGAAGTTTAAGTTTTTGGCAACAAACAACACAATCTGGCTGGCTGTACCTAGGTATTGTATACCCACAAAACTCCTCAAAATCAAAAGGCTTTAGTAAAATACCTGCAGTGCTAGCTGCACATTGGCGAGGTCGTGCTTGAACTGTGCAGCCCAGTTGGCAGACCTCTCGGCCTCATCATCTACCGCTGCCCTTAAAGATACGAGGGTTGAGAGGAAGTGCTGACTGCGTTCCTCCACCAGAACCAGCTTCGAACGAATGTTCTCTATCTCCGTCGATTGCACGTCGCGGTGACCTGATTCTTCTGTTAGGACTAATCTGAAAGAACGTTGTTATAATTTGTTTCAGGAAGGACTGGTGCAAAGATAATTATAAAATAATTTATTGCAACAAATCTTACAGTTATTTAAACAATTACCTATAGGAAAACGAGACAATAATAGAAGCAATGTAAAAACATTGACTTCCTACCTAAGTTACAGAGTCAGATTCTTTCTTACTGACTAAAAACCTCCCTTTTTCTACTCCAGCCTAGATCTAGAACCCCGGTAACCTGCTAAAAGGTGTGAATTTATGATAAGGAGAAGGAAGATATTCCAAGGAGATTAATAAATAACTTCTTACTTGATGGAAGCGACTTCCTTCTCCAAGTAGGACACGCAGTCATCGAGGGGGACCTGTCGCGGTGACCAGGTGTGGTTGGATACTGGTACTGGTGGTGGAGGCGCCGGCGCTGGCACGCTCACGTGACTCGATGAATTACGCGTCTGGAACCAGAATTAATATTTTTCACTTTAATGTTAAGCAATAATGTTCAAAATCTATTAGTTAGATATTTGGGGAGATACAATGATTCCCTAATTCTACCTTTTCCATTTTGGGGCAGTCCTTGACGTGTGTATCCTTGTGTTTCCTCTGTATCCAGGCTCCGCACCGCAGCGGACACTGCTCCAGTATACTGCCGCATATCTTCAGGTGGTTCTGAAACAACAACATTACGTATACTTAACAGCAGCTAACCTTTAGGTAATTGATGCAATGGAATTCGACGTATCGCAACAGAAACCCGGACCCTTTGCTTTGTAGACGTAAATGAGGTGAATTGATCAACGACACAGTCAATATTGAAGAAAAGTAAGAGTCAAAGCATTTATCATACCTATTACAATCAAACATATAGGATCACCTTTGACTTTTTGAAGAACGAGCAGATGGATCATCACAACACAAGGGTAGATACGAAATTGTTATACCGGCCATTTTAGGTGGACCTCTTATAAAATATCTGTCTGACTGTCTGTCAATAGTAAAGCGATTCAGTAGATTCCCATTAAAAATTGACGGGCAAGAAACCTGTACGAGCATCGCCACATGATTTCAATTGTTTTACTTTTTAACTTATTCTGCTATAGTAACATTTTGCCGAATGCGCGATATTGGCGCATTCATGACGCAACCTACTAACAAAATTATGTTATTTATAGCCACACTAATTAACTAATGTAGTACAATAAATACTCTCTTCGAGTACGGATACAAGAACAGTAATTTTATTTCTGTGAACATCCCGTCTTCTTTGACAACATACTACACACAACAAACACATCTCAGTGTACGAAACTAATACAGCTCGTAAAAAACAAAACCTAATGCCACTAAATAATACATATTTACACTGGATAACCTTTCAGATTTCCAACAATAACAAATGCAAATAACATTTCTACCTACTATTTATCAGTATCCATTTCACAAAGAACATTAATTCAAAATCACTCCTATCCCACATCATTGACAAGTTTAATCATTATACCAATGGACAGATGTAAGATAAGCAGTATTATATCCTAGATCTTATCATCAGAGTGTGACACTTCTGCTTACTGCTGAAATACATGAGTTGCACAATGAATGTGTTGTCATAACATAACATAGATACTGAATACTTAAGAACATGTTGTAATATTACCAGTGGGTTTCCAAGTTGCACCTTTAGGTAAAGATGCAAATTCGAGGAATGAAATGCTCGATGGTTGTGTATCTATCCTTACTTATATTATAAATCGGAAAGTGAGTTTGTTTGTTTGTTCCACTTTAACGCCGTAACTACTAAACCGATTGCTTTGAATTTTTGCAGACGTGAAGTTAGAAGTCTGGATTAAATAACAGGGTACTTTTTATATCGGAAAAATTTGATATTCTCGAGGGAAAACCAAATTATTGGTATAGATGACGCTGTGTGATGATATATGACACATAGGCTACTTTTTATCCTTTTGTGACGCGAGCGAAGCCGCGGGTAAAGCTAGTGTATTCATATATGTTTTCTATTACGTAAGTTATTCGCAAGAGCAAATCCCGATCAAAGAGTTTCAGGACTTACCCGATTATCAGGTTGGAAGTATGTAGGTACCTATTTATTATTTGGTTTTTGATATTCTTAGTAATAACACGAACTGCAGGTACGAAGACCGCACCCAATTACGTGGAACTCTTAACATAACTGATAACTAAATGAATGTTAAAATATTTTTGCCCGTTGGCCGAGTGGTCGCAAGTGGGACTGCTGCACTAGGGGTCCCGGGTTCGATTTCCAGATCGGAAAAGTATTACTGGGTTTTTTTTAAAACAATTCTCAGTGTAGAATTTTGCCCTATTAGGTACACTCCCTATTAGGTACATGGGACTCATAACATAAATTAAATAGTGAAAATAATCCTAATATAAAAATATTTGCACTCATCGCATATGTTTTTCGTTTCTATAAACATCTGCCCAAACATAGGTCGGTCCCTGTCACCCAGGGATCGAGTTGCGAGTGTATCAGTGCAAATTCCATAGCCAAAAAGGACCTGGATGACATTACAGCTGTATCAAGAATACCTAATATTATATTACACTATGGAATGTTTTAAAATCAGTCTAGTCCTGTTAAATTGGACACCAAACATTTCACAAAGTCGATAATGAAAATATTACTATTGTTAAATGATAGGCGTTATGAACTAAAGAATAAGTTACATTTTACTTATTTATTGACATGAGCTCCATACAAAATGTGTCAAAATTCTATCTCTAGTAAGCAAATCTACTAATAGATAGGTTATAGAAACTGGACGTTAGGACATAATCCTCAGTAGTGTCACAGTCAAACGATATTTCTACTGTGGTAGTGTTTTATTAACCGACTTCAAAAGGGCAGTTCTCAGTTTTAACTGTATGTATGTATATTTGTGTGCGATTATCTCGCAATTCGATTTTGATACTGTTTTCAGAAAAGTATTTGTTACACTTTTTTTTAAGGGGGCAAAATCATCGAATGACTGCTCCCGCCCGGGTGAGGCGGGAGGGAGTGTCAGACTCTTACTGACTAAAAACCACCCTGTTCCTACTGCTGCACGTCGAGCCGGAGCCCCGGTAACCCGTTAGGTTCTCCGCGACTCCAAAGTTACACTTAGGAGAAGGTTTGAGCACATTAATTAACTGACTTCTAAAAAAGGGGGGTTGAGCGTTGAACGTTTTTTTTTAAACGTAGTTTATATAATAATTATTTTCATGGCATATCTTTTGGGGATTTAGAGATTGGATATAAAAAGACAAAACTTAGACACTCAAGTGTTATTTTTTATGAAGAAATGGTATGACTGCCTCTTTGGCCGAGTGGTCGTAAGTGCGACTGCCGGGCAAGGGGTCCCGGGTTCGATTCCCGGGTCGGGCAAAGTATTACTGGGTTTTTAAATGTTCTCAGTAGTAGCACGGAGTCTGGAATTGTGCCCGGTATATATGGCAATAGGCTCACCCCCTATTACACGGAACTCATAACATAAATAGTGAAAAATGGGTGTTACATTGTACAGTGGTATAATGTGCGCCTCTGCCTACCCTTTCGGGGATAAAAGGCGTGATGTTATGTTTATGTTTAAACGGTATGACTGCTGTCGAGCTAGGCGGCCCATTCGTGCCCGCGTGCCGAAGCACGTTCCACAGTATTCTTTTTATTCGTTTAATTCAGTAAGTACCTGTAACTGTCCCAGTTCAAAGAGTTCATTGCAGAAGTAACAGGGGCAATCCTTGGAGCTCTTCCCCGCCGTCCCTTCCACCTTCTGACCCAACCTGGTGAGGCTCATCCTGGAGTAGTGCTGCCCCCTAGTGAGACGATGCGAGTATCATGACTGCTCCATAGTTCTGGAATTGAAAAATTAATAATTACATTCCAAGTCATTCTTTTTCGGTACGTGTTGCCTGAAGGGTATCACGATCTGTCCTACATGGGTATGTTTCAGATCACGGTGAATGTGAATGAGTTTATGGGCAGCCGTGCTTCATCGATGGCTGCATCACTGCATGCCAGATGAATAGTAACATACAAACTTAATATAACCAGTACGTAAAGCTTATTTAAAAGTGTAAATTCGTATGAACAATGTGAACATGTATAAAATATCCATGTATAATAATATACAGAGAAAATAATTATTATCTATCCATGTGTTCTCCCTTCGTGTGTGATTTTTATTAGTCATATCGGATAGTATTCCAGATGCTAACGTTAGTATTGAGTTTCGGAAAATCTGTATTCTTTTTCAGACACAGTACAAGTACCAAATTAGGTACCTAATGGTAAAATGGGGTGAATAGATTTCGAGGAGTAAATAGTCTACTGCATAGTGTCGCGGAGAACCTAACGGGTTACCGCCTTACCGGGGTTCCGGCTCGAAGTGCAGGAGAAGGAACGGGATGGTTTTTAGTCAGTTAGAGTCTGAAACTCCCTCCCTCGTCACCCAGGCGGGAGCAGTCATTCGATGATTTTCCCCCTTTAAAAAAAAAGTCTACTGCATAGTAGAAGGGAGAATAACTGTTGGGAAAATGTATCTACACCCCATTCCTATACCTATTCACCCTTTGAATTCTATTCACTCAATCATTTGTTGTAAATTTAGAATTCTAGGTTTCACTATCTAAATATTTATACATGGTGTGATGACGTCATCAATAAAGGTTTTCTACGAATACTTGTAAAGTGGTCGTGAGAAAACTGCAGTTGCATATGACTACAATATTTACACAGTATATAAGTGCCCGTGTATTGACGCATGTATTATGTTTACCAAACATATTATGTACAGTCGACAGAGCCATTTAGTGAGGGAGAGCCATGCTTCGGCAGAATGGGCCGGCTCGACCGGAGTGATACCACGGCCGAACAGAACACCGACGTGAAGCAACGCTTGCGTTGTGTTTCGTCGTGTGTGTGAGGCTACAGAGGCCACTCCCCTATCCCTGAATCTCCAGCAATCCTCAAATTCCTAATCCCCAAAAGGGATAACGCACCTGTAACGCCTCTGGTGTTCCGGGTGTTCATGAGCGACGCCGGTTGCTTACCATCAGGTGATACGTCTGCTCGTTAAACCGGCTTATCCCATAAAATACTAAGATTAATTCAGCACAGAGACCGTAACCATTGGTTGACTACTGAACTGAGCATCGTTACAGAACATGTGGCTTGGTTAAAAACTATGTAATTTAGTACAACAGTATATAATAATAAGTAATCCTTTATTTTCTTGCCAGCATAGTAAATAAATGTGCTGAGTGCTGACTGTACATATAGCTAATATATGTTCAAGGTATCACGTCTAGTTTCTGATAAATCAATCGGTTTGTGGAAATATCACATTATTTAGGTACCTACGTATATCAAAGTAGCAAACTGACTTCTGCTGAACATTTCATAGCTCATGTTCATGAGCAGCATTTCGCGACCCGCGACGCGGCGACTGTATAGCTATCGCAAGTAAATAAGGTGATATGTTATACATAAGCCATAACTTACAAATCAGCCTGCTATCTTGCTAAATTCGCGGGCAAAACGTGATATTTGCACTAAATAAGTACTCAACTTGGCAAACACGAAAAACGACTACTTCTTATTAAAAATCAAACTATTTATAGAACTACACAGAAATAAATTAACGTTTAATATGACCGTGTGATATTCAGTTGGGATCTATAAATAGAGAATAAAATTAATACAAGCGTTACTTATCAAAACAGGAAACTAACCTTAGATAGGTATATTTTATTATTAGATACTGGTTAACTATCACACAGAGACACGCTAAAAATTTAACATCAATGATTATTAAATCATTTAGCGTTAATACATTGATAGCTAATCAATAGCTACCTATATTTATTACTTTTTTTTTAAGGGGGGAAAATCATCGAATGACTGCTCCCGCCTGGGTGAGGCGGAAGGGAGTGTCAGACTCTTACTGACTAAAAACCACCCCGTTCCTTCTCCTGCACGTCGAGCCGGAGCCCCGGTTACCCGTTAGGTTCTCCGCGACACCTATATTTATTACTAGGTATTTGCTAACTGTAGTAATCATGTAACAAATGTAGTAGTATTTTTGAGGGGGGAAAATCATCGAATGACTTCTCACGCCAGAATGAGGCGAGAGGGAGTGTGACTCTTACTGGCTAAAAACCACCCCGTTCCTACTCTTTTTTTTTCACAATATAACATGAACTCATTAGACAAGATAACTTTATAGGTTATCCCCTCAACCGAATTCTTCGCCACTTGCGAGAGTGACTCCTGCAAGTACTGTATCATGGGGATCTACGGTGAGGGCACCGCTAAGTCACTCACCAAGCCGAAGAAGATCCGGTTTACTCTTAATGCCAGCACGGGCGAGGGTAATCGTAAAAAATGGCTAATTTCATTATTTACGTTTATAATTTCTATTTCCTTTTGTAGTTGGACATATGTACAAGCTAGCACCGTACATTTCATTTAAGTTCTTTGACACTTTGACGTCACTGAACGCATGACCTAGTTTTAATTATTATAATGTAATATTTTATCACTGCCTCGTTGGCCGAGTGGTCGCAAGTGCGACTGCTGGGCAAGGTGTCTCGGGTTCTATTCCCGGGTCGGGCGAAGTATTACTGGGTTCTTAAAAAATTTCAGAAGTAGCACGGATTCTGGAATTGTGCCGGGTATATGGTAATAAGCTCACCCCCTATTACATGGGACTCATAACATAAAAAGTGGGTGTTACATTGTACAGTGGCATAATGTATACCTCTGCCTACCCCTTCGGGAATAAAAGGCGTGATGTATGTAGTGTAATAAAGACGCTCCGTAGCATCGATTGGCTTGACAATTCTTCAAGTTTCCTTGACTACAATCCCCAAATCGCCCGCCTATCTACCTGACATCTGATAACTCTGCTGAATGGGTGCTATTAGCCGGTTCAGGTAGGTACTTAGACAAAATCACTTAGGTACCTATTTCCTACGTAAACAGTTAGGCAAATATTACAAATCCGGTGTTAGCTGTTTTCAAAATTGGTTTATTTATATTACCTACAACAAGCGGTGATTCACGCGTCGACAAAGTATTTAAATATGTATAACATATAAAATATCATAAACCAGCACATTTTGTAACAAACCGACTCATCTACAATGTATTTTTTTTTAACCGTGGAAAATCATCGAATGACTTCGCCCGCCTGGGTGAGGCCGGAGGGAGTGTCAGACTCTTACTGATTAAAAACCACCCCGTTCCTACTCCTGCACTTGGAGCCGGAGCCCCGGTAACCCGTTAGGTTCTCCGCGATATCTACAATGTATGGAGTCACAACACGACACAATATTATTAATTTGAAGGAATACCTATATATACAACTTGCTGTTGCCTTCGACTTGACGGACAAACATACGAACAAAGAAACTTTGACATATTTAATAATATTATTAGTGTGATTTTATTTAACAGTGTGGGCGACAAAGCAGGATACACTTATACAGCACAATTTTCGAATTGACTTACCTTAATTGTCAATATAATCCAACAACACTACACTGTGCTTGAAAAACACTATATAACACACAACACAGTTCAAACATACACTTGAAACTGAAAGAGTATCAATCACACTAAATCCACAGTTGATAAAACAATTCTCGTAAATTCTATTCTATCAATCACTTTACACACTGCAACGTGCACAAAACAAAAGACGCTCACCGAAAATTGTTTTGTTTGTAAAATTCAAACAATTATCGGAGAACAAACAAAATTCAATTATTGTTTTAATTAATTATTATTTTGTTAATTTTATTTATTTTACAAAAGGTACTGTCGTTCGTGGAATCGTTTTTCATTATAGTATGGATCTCTTTGTCAGTATCTAATGAATCATAGCTCTTATCGTTATCAGTGATACCTGATACTGGGCGTTGTTTGGCTGTGATAATGATAAAGCATCGCAAATACTCTATGATCAAATACCTTATCCGTTTTGTAGGTCAAGGTGCATCGATCCATGTCAATATTCTATTTATTGGTATTTTTTTTAATAATTGAATTTTATTTCAAGGACTTTAGAATTGTTTTTTATAGCATAAACCGAGCAGACGGATCACCTACGTAAGCAATCGGCGCCGCCCATGGACACTCGAAACACCAAGGATTATTGGGGAGTGGGGAGTGGGGGTATAATTGGGCCTCCATACCACGAAACACAACGCAAGCGTTGCTTCACGTCGGTTTTCTGCTCGGCCGTGGTATCACTCCGGTCGAGCCGGCCTATTCGTGCCGAAGCATGGCTCTCCCACACTTAAAATTGTCTACTATAGTTGTTTAAATATTTGTGTTTATTTTCCAAATCATGTTGGTGCGTATTTCATTTCAGTTTAATTGAAGGGGACTCCCTACATTAAATATGCAATTAATCTATTTACAAAAATATGATTTCGGTTTTTATTCTGCTACACAGTGCTTCGTTGGCTGAGTGGTCGCAAGTGGCTGCCGGGCAAGGTGTCTCGGGTTCGATTCCCCGGCCGGACAAAGTATTACAGGGTTTTAAAAAAATAACAGTAGTAGCACGGAGTCTGGAATTGTGCCCGGTATATGGCAATAGGCTCACCCCCTATCACATGGGACTCATAACATAAATAGTGAAAAGTGGGTGTTACAGTGGGTCAAACAGTCCCATCTAATATAAGAAAAAAACAAATACTTTTCTAAAAACCGCATTAACATCAGTTCAGTCAATCGCAAGGTAATTGCAGATATACATTCCTTATCTGAAGCCTATTAAAGAATATCTAAAACGCTTGTGACCGAAGCCACGGGCAAGGCTAGTGCAAATAATGTATTGACAATTATAAATTCATAACGAGACTAGTTCGCGTATTAATTCCTGTCATTACAAAACTTCATTGATAAGCAGTTTTTTTGCAATCTACGGCCCTTCGACCCACAGCGGCTTAGCCGTGAAAGTATGCGGCACACGGTCAACCGGTTCGATTCCAAGACTATTACCTAACAGCCAATGAGGATCTGATAGTTCTGCCTGCTCTCTTACGTAATGGAGTGATGATATTGAATTGTTGATTTAAAATTATCTGCGGTGATAGTTATGTTATTGTAAGTATGACGGCCGCGGTCTCGGGTTCGATTCTAGAATCGAGCAAAATATTACGAAATTCTTCTTCAGTAATTAGCACGCTGTCTAGCATAGTGAATGGTAAATGACTATAGGAACACTTACATAGTAGGTATTACAAGAGACGTATGACCGTCACCAACCCCCTCTAAATGATCCCTTAGAGCACCTGGCCACCGTAAGCCAGCCTCCCATGCTCGCCGCCCGACCAGAACCAGACCCGAGCGTATGGCGCATCGCGTTCCGCGCGCACCTCAAAGAGCCATCAGACCACCACGGATGGGGCCCAATAGGGCTGATGCCGATTCGGAGTTTCGGAGAACTAACTAACGGGTTACCGGGGCTCCGGCTCAACGTGCAGGAGTAGGAACGGGGTGGTTTTTAGTCAGTAAGAGTCTGAAACTCCCTCCCTCGTCACCCAGGCGGGAGCAATCATTCGATGATTTTTCCCCCCTTAAAAATCACACTTCAACCCTTAAATGCACTGTCAGGTGTTACTTAAAGATTGGCGAAAACCAAAATGTCGTTAAACATCATCTATCTTAGCTTAGGCGTCACTTAAAATTTAAGAGACTATAATTGATAGCATTATCACAAAACTGGTGAAAAGTGGCCAGCAGTTGAACCTACTCCAATGCATACATTGAATTTTCGACTTTATGTCAATAGACGATAAAGTTGAAGATGTAATGACAAAAAAGGGTAGGTTGACCTGCTGGCTACCGTGCCTCTTCTACTTGATAGAATTACAGGTATATTGTAATGATGACTGCCTCGTTGGCCGAGTGGTAGCAAGTGGAACTGTCGGGCAAGGGGTTTCGGGTTCGATTCCCGGATCGGGCAAAGTACTACTGGGTTACTACTGGTAACAACCTCAGTAGTAGCACGGAGTCTGGAAATGTGCCCGGTATATGGCAATAAGCTCACCCCCTATTACATGGGACTCATAACATAAATAGTGAAAAGTGGGTGTTACATTGTACAGTGGCATAATGTACACCTCTGCCTACCCCTTCGGGGATAAAAGGCGTGATGTTATGTTATGTAATGTTATTTATATTTGTAGTCGGAGATGCAATACTGGTCTGACTGGTTCTCATTGTAAGTTGATATGTTTCCGCTAAAAAAACATTTGTACAATTTTATAAAATAAAGATAAAGACATTTATTTGCGTAAAAACATGGTATACAAAGATGTTATAGTTACAATATAATAGTGAAACAAGTGAATTTATTTCTGCAAATAGGCTACAACGCAGCACTTTTACACGTCAATTTTATCAAGCGAACGATGAGGCCGACATTTCCTAACTGACTACTCTGAGAGGAAATGCCGAAACAAACTCAGAGGTCCGTCTCTTTTCATATCATATATATCGACCAATAGATCATCATGTTTTGCTTAATAAATAAAGCATGCAAATTTTAACCTAAAACTTATTTTAACTAACTACTATACATCGAGTTATAATACTTCGTAGGTACTTAAGTACGTATATGTATATTTAAAATTCTTTTTCCACCAACTTCTGCCTCGTTAAACTGGTGATAACTAGCATGACTGGTGTACACCAAATAAGAGGGTTCACTTCTTATGTCGGCCAAAGTGTAATTTTGTACGTCTACTTGGCACAAATTGTCGTTTGTTCTCGTTGTAACATTATCTAGATTATCCATATCATAACATAATATAATATCACACCCGAAGTGGTCGAGTGGTCGCAAGTTCGACTGCCAAGCAAGGAGTCTCGGGCTTGATTCCCGGGCCGGCAAAGTATAACTGGGTTTTAAAAAATCTCAGTAGTAGCACGGAGTCTGAAATTGTGCCTAGTATATGCCAATAGACTCACCCCCTGTTACATGGGACTCTTTGCCGTAATGTGTACCTCTGCCTACATAGAAGAAGAAGATAAAAGGCGTGATGTTATGTTTTGAAATAATGTCAATTTGATGTCGAATAAAGACAATTCGGGGTAGCTTGATAACGCTGGCTGTTTGAACTCCTGAACCCGAACCTCTTTGAGGTCAGAGGGTGCAGTCCCCATAAAATTAAATGACTTCTTGATTAAATCCATGAGTGCGGTATTACTTCACTGCTATAATGCTAGTTGACAGACCTCACATTGGTTTCTAAGGTTTTATATGGCACATTTTTGACTGCCATTGATTGAGTGGTCATACTGCTAAGTAAGAGGTCTGGAGTTTGATTTCCGGATTTGATTATTTTTCAGATGCAATGCAGAATGTACATACCTTGTTGCCCGGCAGTCGTATTTGCGACCTCTCGGTCAACGAGGCAGTTAGCGAGACGAGCAGAGCAGGAGATTTAAAAATGTGGTGATTTTGAGACAGGGATTGGGGATGGGAGAATTGGCCTCCAGTAACCTCACTCACACAACGCAAGCAAACGTTGTACACAGATTCATCGATGAAAGGTCATAGGCCGCAGCGAGTTCATCTCATGAGATGGACCAATGTTTGTCCAACGTTGCACCGAGCGGCTCACAGCAATGTATTTGCTTGTAAGCTTGCAAATTAAGGTGAAGGTTTTCTTACTACAACTCAGTTTATTACATGTGTAGTTACATAAGCGTTATTTGTCTTATAGACTAAATAAATTGTACTAGCTTTTGCCACCGGCTTCGCTCGCGTTCACGTGGGATAAAGTAGCCTTAATTTTGATGACGGGGGGAAACCTTCAAAAGGCGCCTAGTTTTTTTGGGGAAAAAAGAAACTAGGGAGTGTGGGATTTTTACTTCACTAAAACCTCCCCGGAGCCCCCACGGTGCAACGCCTGTTACGGCACCTCCCAATGGAGAGGTGTCGGAATAAAGTAGCCTATGTGACACAATCTACCCCTGTTCCAAATTTCATCTTGAGCAATTCAGTCGTTTTGACATGAAGGGAATTTTAAATTTTGTTGTACTCGACAGGGTCCGTAATTGTTACTAAGTATTGTATTTTCTAACCACCTGTATATGTACATTATGGATGCAATAAATACTTAGCTTAGAGTAGCCTCTGGAGTTTCGTGTTCGTTCTTCTCCATAGGTATTCCAATTCAAGTTTTCCAAGCTTCACTTTTAATTTTTTGTTGATGTTCAAAAGTGTTTTACTGGTCTAATTGAAATTAATGATTTTGACAATTAACAAACAAAAAAATATAATATATACGAATTTTTGGATTTATAATATTAGTAGGAAGTAGCATAGTCTAGATAATATAGGCAACTTGAATGAGTTGAGCGAGGAAATATCGCCCCTCACAGATTTCACGCGTGAAGTCGTGACGTAGATGTTGCTGAATTTCGTGTAATAAGTGGGAATTCTGGATGTCCTCACCCTTTTTCTAGTAGTGCCACAATTCCCTGGGATACGGCTCACAGAAAACTGTCGCTTGCGTTGTATTTCGTCATGTGAGTGAGATTACCGGGAACCCACCCCCCCATCGTTAAATTCCCAACCCCCAAAAGACCGTCAATACACACTTGTAATGCCTCTGGTGTTTCAGATGTCTATGGGTATTGGGTAGCACCGTTTGCTTATAAAACTTATTAACTCTTAATAAACTTAGTTTAAAAAATTACTGTACTGAAACTCCCTAATCAGCTCAGCATCATTTTGCAACCAATGAAAATGAGACACGGTAAAAAATAGGGATGATGACAAAAATAACATAATATTATTTTATTAAACAAATCTTAGCGGTCAAGAGTTAGTGTCACACAAACATGTTTGTTCCAAATTTTGTTTTTGTTAGTTTTATTCCAAAATATGTTCACGGTCAATAAATTATTACACGAATTAATCAAACAAGGTGACGCCTGTCAGGTCTCACATCGGTACTTATAATTATTCAAATAAGTCTTAATTATATTAAAATTCATCATTTTTTTATTGCTTTACTGACTCGTTAGGTAAGTCGTTGGAGATAGGCTTCTTAGCCCAAGGTCTAGTTCGATATTCTGAGTATGTAGCTGGTAATTCGAAAGTAAAAGCCATTTTTTTAACCTCTTTTTTGAAATGCATTGTTTCCCGCCTAGGCACGGTACCTAGGATGGTATGTGGTAGCAATGCGACCAATTCCAATTCCCCTGTCAAAATAATTCCTCTTATTTCTTCCAAAATGGTATGCAGACCACTAATTATTAAGTGGTCCAGTAACAATCAACTTCCCAATTGAACACTAAACAATTAAATATTTAGAAATATTTATTATCATACGGAAATCCGAGACACCGTTGGTAAATTCTATAATCGATTGTAAACACCCATTCCTATTCACCCCGCCATTACACAATACCGTGACGATATTAGAATAACATAAACAGACGCGCATGACGTATGTATCAACTTTTATCAATTATAGCATAAAAGCCTTCGGCGGCGCGTACGCATCCCTACCTGCGATATTTCTTAACACCGCTTCAGTCAACGTTAGCACGTCGCGCGGGGCGCACGTCTGTCGCGTCATCAAACAATTGTACCGCGAGTGTTTTTAAATTATACATTTATTTGTTTCACAATTAAAATAACAGTGCAGTTTTGTGAAGTGATAACAAAGAAGTTTTTTTACAAGGAGTGTCGTGAATGTGAGTACATAGTTATAGTTATTGTTATTGTATGCACTCGTTTGTTATTGCAGGGTAGTTTTGCTTTTTTTACCAAAGTCAGCAATGAAGACAGCGCGATTATTATAGAGATAACGATCGGAAAATTATTGCCTTTGCCTAGATTTTTACCTTGAAGTCAGGTCGTGATTTCAAGATCTGTGATTACGACATGTGGGCCCTTGTTGACGTGCTTTATTGCTGCGAAGATTTGCGACTAAGTGCATGTTGTGTGCACAGTCGAGCATACTTCCTCGGTAGGAAGGATTGTAGTGAAGTGATACAGGGTGCAACGTTATTAGAACTCAAGCGTATGATTTCTTTCTTGAATGCAATTTTGTTGCAATACTTTAGCACTTAGCCTGTCTAGTCTGAGATAAACCGGTGAACAATCATTAACTTTTTATTCTTATTTTTGTTCTAACACTTTTTAGATGCACGCGACGTCTTTAGATTTATTTAATTTGTCGTATCGTCTAGAAACAGTGAGCTATATTTAGCCATCACGATATTATAACATTTTTTTTCGTGTAGTGTGACTAAATTATCTAGAGAGTAATGTCCTATATAACATACAAATATTTTAAATATTTAAATTCTTATATGGCCATATTAAGAGGTCATCGTACGAAAAAAAAATACTATAGTACATTGATAGCAGTCGAAACTGTTATGTATATAAATCAACGACTAAGTAAAAAATAGGTTTTCAAAATTAGTAGTTAGACATAGTACATCTAAAACATAGTATAGGTTCCTTCTTTACAAAAATACCATAAAGTAAATAGGTCATTAAATTACAATTAAAAAAAAACAATATCATTACAAGAACAACTTTAAAAATCGAAAACAGCTAATAAATAAAAAAATGTTCTAGAAACCTAAAAACAGAAACTCATCACTGGCTGTCACCGGCATCATACATAATTATGAACAAAACAAAAAAATACGAATTTTATAAAATCTAGAACAATTCAAAAACATTGAAACTTGGATTTAGCACGTATTTATGCATTCTGCGAATATGATATCTGACTCGTTTCGTAACACTTTAAATGTCAAGATTGTTGTACACACATACATGAATATAGAATATGGAGCCTTCGTCGACCCAACCTCCTATTTGGCTATATAGCTCAAGTAATTGAGCACAACTAGATTTCTAGACTAGTATTTAGCTAAGTTTTAAGTACTAAAGACCTAGAACTCGTTCAAGTGGACTTACTTATGTTAAAATCTTAAAATGTAATTGAAATCCTTTTGCGGTTAACTTTAATTGAGAGACTAAATTGTGCTTTGTAGAAAATATTAACACTAAATGAAGTGCTGTATTTGGTTTTAGGACTACGTATATAATCACAGAAATATTATTTTATTATATCTATGAGTGAGTACGGCTACAATGACAGTAAACAGTGCATTATGCATTAGGCTAATTAAATGCTAGGACTTAGGATTGCCTCGTTGGCCGAGTGGTCGTAAGTGCGACTGCCGGCCAAGGGGTCTCGGGTTCGATTCCCGGGTCGGGCAAAGTACCTATTACTGCGTTTTTTAATATTCTCAGTAGTAGCACGGAGTCTGGAATTGTGCCCGGTATATGGCAATAGGCTCACCCCCTATTACATGGGACTCATAACATAAATAGTGAAAAGTGGGTGTTACATTATACAGTGGTATAATGTGCACCTCTGCATACCCGTTCGGGGATAAAAGGCGTGATGTTATGTTATGTCGTAACTTAAATCTTACATATATCTAGTATACCTGTCTTACAGTCCTGAACATTACAATAAGTACGTATGAAAATATTGTTAGGACTTTCTTTTAAAAACATTATTGTTCGTAATTAACAATGAACCTAATTTAGCCACGTAGGTGTACATACCTAGATGGATATTGCTAAGTTACGTTATCTGCCAATTTCTATAACAGATCTCAATCGAAAATTTGCAAATAGGGATCGGTTTTTGACATTACCTGTAAGTATAGAGATTCTGTCAAAAATCGATCTTAAAGATGCTCCACAGATTTCGGATTGGTTATTGAAACCGCTCGGTGCATCTTGCGGTGGGGCCTGGCTAAGCAGGCCGCCACGAGTTCGGGGTCTACGGAAGAATTCAAAGCCAAAGTCAAAGTCAAAATCATTTATTTCAATTAGACCAGGAAGGCACTTTTGAACGTCACAACAAAATATTTAAATATTAAATAATAAGAAAAAAAAATCCGTTTCCCGCACCCTCGTACCCACGTGAGAGACGGGACACCGGGGCGGGTTTTAGTCAGTAAGAGTCTGACAGTCCCTTTCGTCCTCCCCAGACGAGGGGACAGTTATTGAAATCGGGTATAACTTAAAAAAAAAACAACTTATCCATAGAATTAATAAGCGTTGCCTCTTTTTATTCTAACGTAATTGATTTTCTGAAAGAAATAAAAGGCTTTTTATTTTATTTTATTCACTATTGAAATGGAACCCAAGATAGGTCATGAAAAGATTGCCATGGCAACCACGGCCTCACAGAAAATCGACGTGAAACAACACTTGCGTTGAGTAAGGTTACCGGAGGCCCAATTACTCCTCTTCCCAATCCCCGAATCCCCAATAATCCTCAAATTCGTAATCCTCAAAAGGTAAAGCACTTGTAACACCTCTGGTGTTTCGAGTGTCCATGGGCGACGCCGATTGCTTACCATCAGGTGATCCGTCTGCTCGTTTACCGGGTTATTCCATAAAAAACATTTGTTAGCAAGTATTTGGGAAATAATTAAATTATTTTCTAATGAAGGCAATAAGACGTGGGAACTAATTATTTTTATTTATTCTTTGTAATTGTTTTATAACAAACATTTTATCAAGAACATTCAGAAAACTGGTTTTATGTAGGTAAATAATTATATAACGTACTATATATTTTGTATAACAGGTCGGTTCAACATATAGGCTACATATTATCACGCTATCACCTACGGGGGAGGAGCTGTGAATCATTATTCCACGCGAACGTAGTAGCGGCCACAGCTAGTTATTATGTATAATATATCAATGTTGCCAAAATTAAAATATAAAAAATCTATTAATTAAATACTGACAAGAAACAAATGCGAACTATTTTTATGACTGTACCAAGACGCATAACCATTATAAACAGACCGTGAAACGTGCGGAAAGATCATACAAAACGAGACCAAGATAAGCTGGTTGAGCTTGATTTAAAACCGTGTGTTCAAATTCTTGCTGACACACAAGATTTGTGTTTTATGGATAATCATTAATCAGCAGTCATTAAATGTTCTGTGTTTTGCAAATTAGTGACAAATAACACGTTTGAGTTCATAATTATGTTTTCGGCTTACTCACGTAACTGTTTGATAACGAACTCGACTAGTTTCAAGTGTAGTAGCAGCGAGAGTCGCCGCGTCGCGATTCGCGGAATGCTGCTCATGAATATGAGCTTCTAGCATGGCTTGAAACTAGTCGAGTACTTCGTTAAACAGATAAGTGAGTAATCTGAATACATAATAATGAATTTAGTATCTCTTACGAATGTTTTAATACAAACGTTTGAGCTCGACATGTCCTGAGGCCTTAGTACGAGTTTGATTTACGTTTAAAGTATTCGAAACGAGAGTGCGTTCGGTTCGGTTTATGCATATACATACATACAGCAATTTTTGAGTTCATCCCGGACATACAGACAAACAGACAATAATTCTAAAAACCATATTTTTGGCTTCGGTATCAGGTCACGCTCCAAATAATCTTATAAAAAAAAAATTCAATGTACAGTTTTAATTTTCTACGATTTTATTATATGTAGAGGTATTTTTACGATTTTATACTACGATTTTATTAAATTAATATTCATATGCGAAATGGCGACATACTTTACGTTACTTTTTACTAACGATTAGTGTGTGCATTTTAAATTTTGTCACTAATTCCTTGTATATATTACCATTTTAATATGTTATTGGTACATACTCACTCTTTTAACCGACTTAAAAAAATAGGGTCTCAACTATGTATGTATCTTTGTACGCGATTATATCGCAATTGGCTAAACAGATTTTGATGTGGTTTTCAGAAAAATGTTTGTTACACTTAGGAGTGGGGTTAATAATAATTAACCGACTTCAAAAAAGATGGCATTGCAGTAGGTTTTTTTAAGTTACGAACGAATTATAATTTATGAATTTTGTTCATTATTTTGGCCCTGTTAATACACCCAATCATACATAAATACGTACATAACCTCATAAATGCCTGTCTCCCATGGGGGTAGGCAGAGACTATGGAACGCCAATTGCTACAATTCTTACATACCTCTTTCGCTTTTTCAACGGTTATCAGTCATTTCATGCATGGTACTGGTGGCTTACTCTTGAATCCAATTCCGATCGATCGACATTGATATTGTAAAATTTCGTACTCTTGAGTTACAACACTACTGCTGCTTTTGCACTGCATGATTGATGCGGTGGCTAGGCAACCGGCTGCCGTGCAACGTGTCGCGGGTTCGATTCCCGCACGGAACAACACTTTGTGTGATCCACAAATTGTTGTTTCGGGTCTGGACCCGAAACAACAATTTGTTATATAACTTGTATGTTTGTAAACGCACCTACGACACAGGAGAAAATCCTACTGTGGGCAACGTTTTTTTAAAAAAAAACACTAGCACCCATTGCATCCTTATTGCGTGGATATTGAATGAACTAAATGCTTTAGAGTTAGACTTTATATTCCGTACTCTGATTGTACGTACGTACTCTACGTACGTACTCTATTTTAACAGCTACGATTGGGGTTGTATAGTGTTGACATTGAATAATTATTGAGATTTTATTGGATTGACATTGAGATTGGTTTTAAGAGTAAGCGCCCTGTTCACATCATTTAAATTAAAAATAAACTCAGGTAGGTGGGTCATCTTTGCAATCATTTTGATTAATTGGGTGCAATGCCCTACAAGAACTTAGGTGCTC